GGATGTATATTATATGAATATGAATATGGGTGGGAAACTTGCCACTCCAATTATTTCGCGTCGATGTGACTCTATGATGTAGTGGCAGTGGAGTGAGAGTGAGATCATTCTCACCACGTTCCTCGTCCCGACCGCCATTGAGCTGTTGGGATTGAAACTCTCGAAGGCGATTTTTATTACCTACCGAAACCAACGAGTCGTGTTCGTGGAAACTCCCCGTCCCGGGAGATGCACGGAGACGGAACGGAAATGGAGAGCCGAGCTGTCAGTCGAGTGGGAGCATTTTGGAGCTTCCATGCGGCTCGGATAGCCGGATCCCGAGGCTCCGGATGCACCGATGTTCTCTACGAACAGTCCCCTCCGAGAGGGCAGGAATCGTTAAGCTCAGACGGTGCTGCCGATGGCAGCGATGCGACAGGTCGTTCAAGCTTGATTGACGGATGCCATTACATCAGGGATCGATGGGATTCTATGCCTCCAGGCCAGCACCTTCGCTTGTCAGAGTCGGCCACGATCGATACAGACCTTCATCTCGATGAGGATCTCGTCGATCGATTCTGGAGAGCGGTCAAGCGGCATTTACGGAACAACAGCTCTTACATGACATGGTAGACGTTTATTCACAGGAAATTCCATCACAAAGCTCCTCTTCGCCCTATTTCGTGGGGAACTCTCGAGATCAAGGCGACTCTCGTGGTCTAGCGGTGAATCTGGTCACGCTGAGGCTGTCACAACCGTTCCGCATCACGAGGTACGAATCCGACGCGGTCAATATCGATTCACCTCCTCCGATCAAGAGATTCACTGGATATTTTCGTTAGGTCCCACCTGCTTCTGTAAATGGGAGATGAGGTCTCGCGACAGAACTGCAGAGAGCCGAAATTCAGCAGAGATGGAAACACACAACTCTCCGAAGCAGAAATTTTCCTCAAGAACAGTTGCGAGCCTCTGGCTGATTCTCTTTTCGAGTCGTATCTGGGAGCAAACAGGGAGAAATCACGCCGAACAACTGGTGTCACGAAAGCCATTGCTATAACTCGTAAAAAAAATAACAGAGGACGCGTACGTCGCTGTGGCTCGGATCCACTGGCTGTTTCTTGACAACAGTGAGCGACTGATTGTTGCCTTCTCGGTCCATTCTTTCATCATCCACCGTATGGAGCGATCTTGCTCCGCATCTTTCTCTACGGGTGGCGCCGAGCGAGGCGGGTGACGCACCAAATATTCCGCTCCCTGGGCCTCTCTAGAGAGGAGACCCTCAATAGAGAGCGACACACAACCTGTACGAGAGAAAATATCATTGGATGTATGTATAAGTATTCTCGGACACAAACAAGTCATTGCATCAATCGGATTCTGTTTCCACAGTAATTCCATACGCGACCCCGTCGATCGCCTCCTGAGGTATATCCTTGGTGCAACGGGAGCCTCTTCAGATTATTGACCGGCTCGATGCTGGCCCCGAGGATTTCGCCCCGAAGCAAATTAAATCCATGACGTGGATCTACTCTACGAGGCGGGGCATATCGCTCGATGATATGTCGAACGCAATCCCTAATGTCGATTGCAGTTCCGCGAAACGTCTGGCTCGGATCTGCGGAGGAATCGAGAGAAATATCGCAGGATCAAAGTTCAGACCGGAACTCTCGATTGCGAGAGGATTACGCTCGGGAGGAGCGATGTCATCTGCGTCGGATTTTCCCTCGTTTTTTTCCGACCAGCCAAGGTAATTGATTTATTCGAACCGTGACTAAGAGAAATTTCGCGGGTAAACGACTCTGCCTCTTGGCGCTGTGGATAGCCCGGATAGAAAAAGATCGCTAAGTTGAGACGCCGCGATCCTCGTTCTAAAGAAGCGAATCTCATTACGATTCCGATGGCGGGATTTTCCGGGGAGCCGTTTATTACATGAATCATCACAACACAATACTATCGCCATGGGAGCGTCATGTCTTAGTTTTCAATTTTGGGTGGATGGCCTTCCTGGCGGAAGCCAGAGCTGCTTCGTAGTTCTGGTAGAATTCTCTCAAGCTCGACGGATCCCATTGGAATTCCTTCACCTTGCTGTTGGATATCGCTTTCAGAGTTCTGGAACGAGACGTAGAATGATTCTCCAATGAGCGAGGATCATATCATTGAGCAAATCTTCGTGGACAGATCGGCGAAGAGAGGCGAAGAGACGCGGCCGATGGGAGGAATCAACTCACTTTGATAGTTTGGCGTTCTCAGCGGGACTTAGCAACACCAACGATTTCCCTGCTTGTTTGCTCGAGCTGTTCTGCCAACCATGTGGACATAATCCTCTGCGGAAGTCGGTGCGTGATAGAGTACGACATGTTCGACACTCTTGAGATCCATTCCTCGCGAGAGAACTTGCGTGGCAATGATCATGTCGCAAAGTCCTGAAACCGAGAATCTCTCTGCGTGTAATAGGAGGCACTCACAAACCTCTCTCAGTTTACGAATTATCCATAATAAGCGCTCGGCCCCCGTCACGGCCTTCGAGCCGGGAATGCGCGGCACTCTCGACCACCCATGGGAACAGTGAATGAAACTACCCGAAACTACGCGGGAAATCACCGCTATGGTCACAGGCCGTGACGGAAGTCGAGGCTTCTAGTCAAACATGATGAGTAGAGTGGAATACCTTCGTCGAAATCGGCCAACGCTTTCTGTCGCTGCCGTTTCTTCATATCGGCGCTGAGATCCACGACCTTGCAACTACCCATGAATTCAATAACGATTCGGAGTCGATGACACTCCTCACGGGATCGCGCGAACACAATCATGCGACCCATTTTCTGATGAACGAAGAGCCACCACACCAGAAGAGGTCGAACGTCGATATCGCAGAAGATCTTTCGTTCCTCGAGGGAGTCCGGGAGGGCGAAGGCTTTGTCGGATCGGTTCGCATGCTCAGCCTTCGCGTGGAACACTCGGGGATAGAAGAGATTCACGTGACGCAACTTCTCAGGGTCCGACATGAGAGTCGCTGAGTAGAGGAGTTTGCGCAACGGAAGGCTGTGAGCATCCATGGTGCAGCAACTTATGGCGGTGGGTCGGGAACGTTCGAAATTCCCGATTTCCGAACAACGACAGCGCGCCGAGTCATCCACATAAATGGCATTTTCCACTTCCCGGATGAGACTGCGGGGAAAAGGAATATCTTACACATCTTGTTCGACCGATCCTTTATCTGGAAGCCAGAAGGAAAGCGAGAGCTGAAAACTCACCCATGAATGACCATGTCGACCATGCGATCCGCTTCGTCGAGCACCAAATGACTGACGAGTCTCAAATTGAAACCCGGAGTCAATCTCAAGTGATTCAGAAAGGTTTTGGGGGTCGCGATGACAACATCTACTATC